GAGACGAGCGGGGAGTAAGTAGGTCAAGTGCAAAGTGATAACACCTATGATTGTGTTACCTGATTGCAGTAATTTGGCGTGGGGAGACCAGATAAAAGAGCGACTGGAGAACGTGGAAAGGGAGAGAGACGGGACAGAGAACTCGTACATGCTCGCCTAGGCTAAAAGCCAGAGAAATCCGAGGAACTGAGTAATTGTGAGACTTGAGACTGTCTGAAAGCACAGAGAGCACGACTTTTGTGTTGTATGATTGTTTACATTGAATAAAAACGCACGAGTCTCCGTAAGCCGACCCTGCCCTCTTCCTTCCTTACTACGAACGTTGTCACACTGGTGCCGAAACCCGGGAAGGAAGTAAGAAGGCCGCCACCATTATGTCGTCTCCGCCAAGTTCGCCGTTTGAGGAGGTCATCCACTCGCTCACAGGACTCCATCAGGAACACCATCAGGCATTCTGGGCCCTCGTCCAGACATAGCAGGAGGACCGCGAGCTGTTCCGGAGCTGGATGGACCGGGAGGCTCGGGCTGGGGGATCGCCCGATGTCGCTGAACCTGGCCATTCAACTGGCGGTGGACCAGATGGTGGCATGCCACGGGGTCGGGGAAACCCTGCCTTCTTTCTCCCTCCCTCTACCTCCAAACCTGTCCCTCTCCCTAGGTCTCGGGTAAATCTCTCTCCTCGAGCGCAACCCCGATGGAGGGGTGGTCCGACGCTGGAGTCAGCTGAACTGAGACCCCTTTCCAGGGGAGCGGGGCCAGCCAGCTCGAGCGCCCCGTCTGTTCCCATTCCTCCGCTCTCTACACGTCAATCTCTTGACCCGCTTCCTACCACTAGAGCGGCGGGGAAGTCTGGGCCGCCCTGTTGGCGTTGCGGGGACCCAGGGCACTTTATTGATCGGTGTCCAGTGATTGAGGTGGGGACACTGATCCGGATTCCGGACGCCCCGCAGGCTGCCCCCGATCAAGCTGGCATGTACCAAATACCTGTGAGTATTAAGGGGGGTACTTATTGGGCTTTGGTGGATTCAGGATGTAACCAAACCTTGATCCATCAAAGCCTGATTCAGCCAGAGGCAATGGATCAGAGCCGCGTAGTTCAGGTGTGGTGTGTGCACGGGGATGTGGTGAAGTATCCTTTAATGCTCCTAGCTATCCAATTTCAGGGACAGAAGCATAATGTGGAGGTTGCAGTTAACCTGCACCTCAAGCATCCGCTGTTTATGGGAATCAATTGGCCAGCTTTTAGTCATTTATTGGGGAATTTGTGTGCGGATGTGAACCGAAACTGACTGGATCTGAGTCAGGGGAACCGGAAGCATGATGATTTTCCCCGGGAGCAGTCTCGGGATTAAATGCCGAAAAATGCATTTGAACAGGTCTGCTCCATCGACGGGCAGCCTCTCCAATCAGCACGGCCCCCTTCTTATCCCTATTTTGCTATTTTAAAAGATAGATTGTATCGAGTGATCCAAGACCCTTAGACAAAACAAGATACAACTCAGTTGTTGGTACGTAAAAGCCGCCCGGAAATGCTTTTCCAGGCAGCTCACTGTAATCCCAGGGCAGGACATTTGGGACAGGCAGCAACGTCAATATGTCTAATGACCCGATTCTTTTGGCCAGGCATTCACGAGAGTGTGCGCAGGTGGTGCACGGCTTGTAGTGAATGTCAGTTAGTGAATCCCCCGGCCTCCCCAAAAGTGCCGTGGTGCCCTCTTCCTCTCATGCAGGTCCTCTTCGAGAGAATTGGTATGGACCTCATCGGGCCATTAGAACGGTCAGCACGGGGGCATCGCTTTGCATTAGTTCTAGTGGATTATGCAACGCGATACCCGGAGGCAGTGGTGCTCCGCAACATTTCAGCGAAAAGTGTGGCGGATGCCCTGTTTTGTATAATCTCCTGAGTGGGAATCCCGAAAGAGATTCTTACTGATCAAGGCATGGCGTTTATGTCACGTACGTTACGCAAACTTTACGAATTGTTGGGCATTAAATCGGTTTGCACTAGAGTCTATCACCCACAAATGGATGGCCTGGTGGAACGATTTAATCGCAGTTTGAAAAACATGATTCGAAAGTTAGTTCAAGAAGAAGCCAAAAATTGGGACAAATGACTGGAACCATTTTTGTTCGCTCTTCGCGAGGTCCCGCAAGCCTCCACAGGGTTTTCCCCCTTTGAGCTTCTTTACAGTTGCCAGCCCCATGGGGTTTTGAACATCCTGAAGGAGGCTTGGGAGGCTGTACAATCGGGGGACCAGATGAAGTGATTTTGCACCGGGAGATAAAGTGCTTGTATTGCTCCCAACTTATAGCTCTAAATTACTCGCCAAGGGGCAAGGACCCTTCGAGGTCACACGGCGATTGGGAGATCTCAATTATGAGGTAATTCAAATGGACAGGAGCGGGGCACGTCAAATCTACCATCTCAACCTCCTAAAAAAATGGAGCGAGGTGGAACCGGTGATGCTGGCGACGGCAGTGAGTAGAGAGGAAGATCTCAGGTCAGAAGTTAACCTTAAAGTCCAATCTCTCGCTCTGGCCCCAGGGGGAGATCACCTCTCGCCCTCCTAGCTCACTGATGTAGCAAGATTGCAAGCCGAGTTTGCAGACGTGTTCTCGCCCCTGCCCGGCCGAACCAATCTCATCCAGCACCATATTGAGACTGACCGGGCGTGGTAGTGCGCAGCCGGCCGTATTGATTACCTGAACACAAAAAGAAAGTGGTTCAGTCTGAATTAGAAGCGATGTTAGAGATGGGAGTAGTAGAAGAATCCCACAGTGATTGGGTGAGCCCGACAGTTTTGGTACCTAAATGGACGGCTCCGTTCGATTCTGTGTGGATTATCGCAAGGTGAATGTGGTGTCGAAATTCAATCTGAATCAAATGCAAAAGCTTATCTAATGCTGCGGGGTTGACGAATTGCTTGATCGGCTGGGTACAGCTAGTTTTTACTTGACACTGGACTTAACCAAAGGGTATTGGAAGATCCCCTTATCGCCCTTATCCAAAGAAAAGACAGCCTTCACAATGCCATTTGGATTACACCAATTTGTTACGCTTCCTTTCGGGTTGTTCGGGGCACTGGCCACTTTTCAGCATCTCATGGACAGAATCCTCCAACCGTATACTGCCTATGCCGCTGCCTATCTGGATGACATCATCATCTACAGTCAGGATTGGCAACGTCATATGGCGCATCTGCGGGCTGTCCTGCGAGTGCTGAGAGGGGCCGGGCTAACGGCTAACCCGAAGAAGTGTGCGATTGGGCGTGTGGAGGTCAGGTATCTGGGTTTCCACTTGGGTCCCCAAATTAGTAAGACGGCAGCAGTTGCGACCTGTCCGAGACCCAAGACCAAAAAGGAGGTGAGGCAGTTCCTGGGGCTGGCGGGATATTATAGAAGGTTTGTACCTAATTATTCAGACCTCACCAGCCCGCTGACTGACCTCACTAAAAAGGAAGCCGCAGATCCGGTCCAGTGGACGGAGCTGTGTCAGCAGGCTTTCACCCAGGTAAAGGCTGCTCTGTGTGGTGGGCCGCTATTACACTCTCCTGACTTTTCTCTCCCGTTTTTGCTGCAGACGGATGCGTCGGACAGGGGGCTTGGAGCCATCCTGTCACAAGGAGATAGAGGGAGAGGAGCGGCCGGTGCTGTACATCAGTCGAAAGCTCTCTAAGAGAGAGACGATGTACAGCACCATTGAAAAGGTGTGCTTGGGCGGTTCTCACCCTCCGCTATTATCTCCTGGGATGGGAATTCACTCTCTGTTCAGACCACGCGCCCCTGCAGTGGCTCCACCCCATTAAAGATACCAACGTGCGGATCACCCATTGGTATCTGGCGTTACAACCCTTTAAATTCAAGGTGGTCCACAGGCCAGGGGCACAGATGGCTGTAGCCAACTTTCTCTCCAGAAATGGAGGTGGTGGGGGGGGGCTGCAGGCCAGAGGGGTCTCAGGCCTGAGTCGGGCGGTGGGGGTATGTGGCAAGGCGGGCATAGTTCAGCGAGGTCTGCAGTGGGAGAGAAGGTCAGGAGACGAGCGGTGAGTAAGTATGTCAAGTGCAAAATGATAACACCGGTGTCTGATTGCAGTCATTGGCGTGGGGAGAATGGATAAAAGAGCGACTGGAGAATGTGGAAAGGGAGAGAGACGGGACGGAGAACTCGTGCGTGCTCGCCTAGGCTAAAAGCCAGAGAAATCCGAGGAACCGAGTAATTGTGAGACTTGAGATTGTCTGAAAGCACAGAGAGTGCGACTTTTGTGATGTATGATTGTTTTCATTGAATAAAAACACACGATTTTCCCTAAGCTTACCCTGCCCTCTTCCTTCCTTACTACGAACATTGTCACAATAATAATTACGGTAGCCGTGAGAGCTCAATGCACTGCAACTTCAGAAAACACATGCAAATAGAAAAAGCACCAGCAAATTAAGAAAACATCTTCATCAGTTTGACAGCACATGTGCTGCAAATACTCGCAAAACAACCAAATACAAAACAAGCTGCAAATCTTCACAACACAAACAAATAAATAACCCAACCAAATAGGCCTACAGAAACGCTCAAGTAGCACGAACCACAACAAAATTACCTCAACAAAATTAAAGTGAACTATGTTGTATTTATATTTGCAACATATGTGTAACGTATTCATTTTATTTATTCAACTATAAGGTATGCATATTATTATTGTTGGTAAAATACTGTTTTTATGGGAGTATAACAACAACAATAATAAACAGTTTTAAAATAAAATGTGTAATGTATTAATAATAATTTAGGTTAAATTAAATTACAATGAAAACGTTTATTGTTATTCTACATGTAAAATAATATATTGTAAGTCTTATATTTCATGTAAGTGTACATCATTTTAAGGATTATTTTCAAAACGTAATTTTCTTTAGCATAACTGCAATATTGCACCGAGTGCCCAGAATTGTAGTGTCTGTCAAATCCGCTGTGTGTCTCTCCTGAGTGACTCGTGAGCGCTGTTTATATGAGCGAGCACGGCTAACGTTAGAGAAACAGCAGCAGCAGGATGGCGAGCAAGGACACAACACAGAGTTCCCCACATCCAACACGAACAAAATCATCATGTGTTGGACTTCTGCGCTTTTTATTTATTGCATTTATTCACGTGGCACAGGCGAACAAACAAGGTAACCTCCTGAAGCGTGTTGTGTGTTGTAGCTGGTTTTCGTGAGTCTGTATAGCTGTATGCATACCGCTTCTTCACGGTAAGCTAAAAACTGTTAGCCTCGAGCCGTAGCGCGCCAGCGAACAAAATCAATATTTAGTCAAGCCTTATCCATAATATTGAAGTCACAAGTCTAGCTAGGTTAGATGACATGTGACTGCTCTTGCTGTTTTGATTTTCTTGACGTAAAGCTGCTGGATAATATTGCTCAGAGATATTAGTTTAGCTTGAGTCTTGAAGCTAACAGGCTTAGTCATATTACATTAGCGAACACCTTAACTTACCTGGCTGAAGTTACTTTTACTCAAAAACAAAACAATGGATAATGTGTTACAAAACTCAACCCCATTCAAGATAGGTTTCCACCTTTGTAATAGCACGTTAAATGATTATGTTCACTCTCCACCGGTGACCAGTTAATGTCTTAAGATTGTTTTGACTAATGTATGCCGGTTTGGCACGAAGTTTTACCCGATGAAAATAACGTTCTTAATGTTTAAACATCACATTAAATCAATGCCAAGTGGGTAAAAGAGCAGAAGGTTGAAAGTAAAGTGTTAATGTGAGAGTTTTGTTTCTGAGGCCCAGTCTGTCAGTGACATGTCAAGTTGGAGAGGGAGGAGAAGGTGGTGACTGCATACTGCAAGTTCATGCAAGTTTTTACTATATTTCTTCATGTTGCTCAACTTGCTCAAGCACAGTTAAATACAGTAGTGTTGTATGTCACTGAGAGTAGTTAGTTGTTAAGCACTAAAGCAGTGTGTTATATAGAAATTGATTTGTCTGTTTGCATTTGAGGGGTTCGGCTTAATTGAATAAAATTCAGAGGTTCTCAGACATGACACTGTAAACAGTCTTATCAAAGTGCAGAACACTTAGTTGTGTTTGCAAATGAAATAGTCAGGGCGCTCTGGCATAATCCAGATATCAACCGCTTGACAGGGCAGATGACCTAATAAATCCAGTGCTTGTTATTTTTGACTTAGTTTATTACCTGTATTGAAATGTCTCTGAATGTCAACAGACAATTAAAGTACTTCACCCAAAAAGGAAAATCTGTCATCATTTACTCACCCTCATGTTGTGTGTGAACCTTTTTCAGTCTGTCTTCTGTGGAACACAAAAGAAGATATTTTGAAGAATCTTGGTTACCAAACTGTGACAAAAACAATGAGACATTTCTGGAAAAAATTATAAGTTATTCAGGGTAACATGAGGGTGAGTAAATGATGACACAATTTTTATTTTTGGGTGAAGTAACCCTTTACTTGTCAGTTGTCATTGGTTGAACAATGTGGGCTTGTCTGTGACCAACATCAATGTCTGTAGAACATTTTGACTCAAGGACAGTATGTAATAGTCAATACACTGTTACACATTTTGTTGAAATCAGTCTCCTGGGCTGTCATCTGTTCTGTGAGAGGTTTTTCCTCAACTATGCACAGTGGGAAACTTTGTATCAAAACAGTTACAAAAAGTATTTAAGCCCTTTTCCTCAGTTCTAGTGATGGCATAGATACTGCGTTTTGGTTTGCAAGGAAGATTCATCCATTGACAAGATTTGGGGGGGAATTTGTAACACTGAGAGGAAATACAAAGAGGCAACAAATAAGCCTGGCCGATGACTTTTTATCACTACTTGTGTCGTGTAGGTAGTAGTGCTGGGCGGTATGACCAAAAATGTATATCACGGTATTTTTCAAAATTATACCGGTTTCACGGTACAAGACAGTATTTTTTTTCATGCATGACTGGGTGTTAACCATATTTTCTACTTATTGAGAGAGGAAATACTGCAGTATATTGACTTAGAATGCCCTATTTTACTGTCATGATGAGTGAACATTGTCAAAAAATACCACACTAAATAGTGACTAAACACGACCCCTTTTAATATGTGTGTAGAAGCCACTTTTGTTGAAAGGAACACAAGCTTTCACTGCATTTGGTTAGTATCCTATTAAATTATGTGGTATTCTTTGACCAAGCATAAGTTTAAGAACTTGAATTTCCATGAAATTCCACTATACTAGCTCTTCAAGTGTAGGGATTTGTAATATAGATGCCCTGTTCGTCGTATGTTGGATGTTTAGAAGGCTTTAAACCTCTTTGCAGGTGGTTTTGTGTGTTACTTTAAATGAATCATCTTGTATCTGAGGCTTTTTTAAAGAGCAGTTACGTATAAATGTGGTAAGGGATCTCTGATGTGTAAAGATGCTTTTAAACATTGAAGTGCCAGACTCTTTCTGTAAGCATCAATCACACACTGTGGAATCTTGTTGTGAATCTGATATCTATTTAAAATCCCCTTGCTATCGCAATATCGTGCCACCAATTTGACTGACAACTGCACAGCAATACATAGTCAAAATTCAAGTATTCATAAATAGGGATGGGTATCATTTACATTTGATCGATACCGATACTGCTTATCGATACTATTTGGTGCAAAAAATATGAAGTGAATTTTATTACTGCTGAACTTTAGCAACTGTATTAAAGTTCTTCAGTCAAGAGCAGCGAGTTATTTTTCTCTGTGTTTTATTTTATTAACATAAAAGGAATATTTCACCCATAAATTAAAGTTGTGTCATCATTTACTCACTCTCAAGTTGTTTTAAACTTGAATGAGTTTCTTTCTTTTGTTGAACATAAGTTATTTTGAAGAATGTGGGAAACTAAACAGTTGCTGGTCCCCAGTGACTTTCATATATTTTTTCCCCTACTATTAAAGTCAGGGGGGACCAGCAACTGTTTGGTTACCCACATTCTTCAAAATATCTTCTTTTGTGTTTAGCACAAGAATGAATAAAAATTCATACATGTTTGGTACAACATGACTGAGTAAATAATGACAGAATTAAAATTTTTGGGTGAACTATCCCTTTAATGACAAGCGGCAGCATGTTTAGTACTGCCGGTTTAAAGGGAAACTCCACCCCAAAATGAAAATTGTCATTAATCACTTACCCCCATGTCGTTCCAAACCCGTAAAAGCTTTGTTCGTCTTCGGAACGCAATTTAAGATATTTTAGATGAAACCGGGAGTCTTGTGACTCTCCGATTGACTGCCAAGTAAATTACACTGTCAAGGCCCAGAAAAGTATGAAAGACATCATCAGAATAGTCCATCTGCCATCATTGGTTCAACCATAATGTTATGAAGCGATGAGAATACTTTTTGTAAGTGAAGAAAACAAAAATAACGACTGTGCACTACATTTTAAATATTTTAAAATTGAAAACTTGGTAACACTTTATAATAAGGTTCCATTGGTTAATGTATTAACTAACAAGAATGAACAATGAGCAATACATTTATTACAGTATTTATTCATCTGTTTCTGAACACAATATGTATAAGACAAGTTTGTACAATATGTAGTTGTAGGCCTAGTTTTTGCATCTTTTCTGCAAAGATATTTAACAAGTGATTTGTTTAACTTCTTGTGTGCTGCATTTGGAATTAAATTTTCTTTAACTCGAGGGTTAATAAAGAAAGTAACTTGAATTATGTTGTAGTTACATTTTCAGTTTGACTAGTTAAAAATCGTAAAAATTCGAGAATCAGTCAAACATTCTGGAAAAAGCGAGATTAATTTTTTTGCAAAATCACCCAGCCCTACGTGAGTGTAACTCTACCGAATCAACCATTGATGTGAATGTGTCTCGCGAGTTGCAGTTGCAGTTGGAGCTGGAGCCCGGAGACATAGCCTAATACAGCGCATTGCTAGAGGTAGATGTTGTATTTTGTTAGTAAATGTTTCATTATAGTACTATATCCTTTGTTCACTATTTCATTACTGCATATATTGCATCTGACACTGGTGTCACCTAGTTTTGTAACGTGAGCCCACACTTTCAAAGTTTCACTCTTGCCACGATGACTGATTGCACGCAAACACACACCGCACATGTGCATGGATATCACATGCATGTCGAGCAAACCTCGGCCACATCATTCAGTGAAGGAAAATGACAAGCAGCAGCTTCTAATTCGTTGTTAACATTGAAGTATACGGAGGTAAAACAACGCAAGTATCGATAACAGTATTGTTTGTCCTGAAGCTTATCGGTATTCCGGTATCGACTCAATTACGTACCAGTCCAAAAAAATACCGGTTCTCGGAATCCATCCCTATTCATAAATAAGACAAGTTTATTCAATGCATAAGACAAAAATTTAGGCTATTATATTAAAAACAATATTACATCAGATCCTCCTGTCCACCCTCTCATCGCTGGTTTGAATCCTATCTCACTAGTAGGTCTTTCAAGGGTGGCCTGGGGAGTGGAGGTATCCAAAGCAAATCAACTGGTCACTGGGGTTCCTCAGGGATCAGTTCTTGAACCCTTCCTCTTCTCCATATACACTACATCACTGGGTCCCATCATACAGGCACATGGCTTCTCCTACCATTGCTATGCTGATGATCCACAGCTCTATCTCTCATTTCAACCAGATGATCCAACGGTAGCTGCACGGATCTCAGGCTACCTGGCGGACATCTCGGCATGGATGAAAGAACATCACCTACAGATCAACATGGCAAAGACTGAGCTTCTTGGGCAGAAACATAAATCTGCACCTATGGCATGGACAACGAAACAAAACCTCGTCAGAGCCGTAATGTGGCGCAGAAGTGTGCAGTGCGTGTGCTTGCCACGCATCTACATTTGAAATAACGAAACCGAGTGCGCAAAAGAAGCAATGTGAACAGCTATTTTTCCCTGCATGTCATGTGTGCGGGGCTTTGTTTTTATGATGAGAGGAGAGGAAATGTTGAGAAAGCACTCCAGGTAAATTTATAACTGTACCAGGCTTATATATACAGTGGGTACGGAAAGTATTCAGACCCCCTTAAATTTTTCACTCTTTGTTATATTGCAGCCATTTGCTAAAATCATTTAAGTATATATATTTTTTTCCTCAATGTAAAGTTGATAAGCAGTTTAATGTGTTGGTTTACACACAAAGAAAAGTGTAAGCTTTTAATAAGTCCAAGAATAAAATTATTAATTTACTTAGCATGTAAAATTTGTTTTACAGAAATGTTATGCTGTTTTCTACCAGTTTGGACTTGAATACAAAGAGAAAACTTGCACTTTAAAGGGTTAGTTCACCCAAAAATCTAAATTGGTTTTACTCACTCTCGAAGCATCCTTGGTGTATATGACTTTCTTCTTTTAGACGAATCCAGTCGGAGTTATATAAAAAATTGTCCTGGCTATTCCAAGCTGTATCATTGCAGTCAGCGGGTGTTGCAGTTGAGCAATCCACAAGTCGTCAAATAAAGCGCATGCATTCATAATAAAACATCCCTCACACGACTCCGGGGGGGTGAATAAAGGCCTTCGGTAGTGAATCCATGCGTTTTTGTAAGAACAATATCCATATTTCAAACATAATAAACACTTTTCTCTCACTTCTGTTATCTTTCATACGCGGAAGGCGTTCTGGCGGATGGCGGATGACATATGCGCAGAGCGCGCGCCTCTGAGATATGCTAGTCTCACGAGTTTGTTTATAGGAGCAAAGGAAGCAACGTTTCCTTACTTTAGCAAAGGAAAACCAGTCTCCTCTTGGCTTACATCGAAATCCTCCGACATTTTTCTTTGCAAATCTTCGGTTTGTACTTCTAATTCGTGACCGGCGTTTTGTTTTGTTGTCTCTCCGCATTCGTCACTAATCACGCAACGCCGACATGCTACGTCATCCGCCAGCACGGCTTCCACGTATGACAGTTGGCGGAAGTGATATAAAAGTGTTTATATCAAAAAGTGTTTGTTATTCTATGTTTTCATTCTTTTTATTTATTATATTATTTAAAAAACCCTTGCTATGTGTACTGCATTAAGCTAACTGAGACTTGTTATAGCACTTGTATATCATTGCTCTTTTGTTGATTTTGATTGCTTCCATTGTCCTCATTTGTAAGTCGCTTTGGATAAAAGTGTCTGCTAAATGACTAAATGTAAATCACACATAATCACTGAAGTTGGTCAGTTCCATATACTAGAAGAATAATGGTACATTTAATAAGAGTGGAATATATACATTTTCTATATAAAAATTAGATTTTGCACCAGTTACTGTTGTTAATAAAAAATAATTTTGTATGCATCTTAACTCAAGCATAGTGCTTTACTGTCAAATCTGTATAAACAATAAACAAAAGAAAAATAAACAAGAAATGTAATATGTAATATTATTAGCAACTGCACTTATTAATGCAAAACAATAGTAATTTTATGATTAAATTATCTATATTTTAATACTCCCACACACCACCCCCAGCGCTACCAAATCGGCTCTTGGCGCCACCATCTGTAGAACTTAGTGGCACTGGTGCCACTGCTCTCAAATGTTAGTCTGGAGCCCTGCCTAGGATGCTACGAGGGTGAGTAAAACGCAAGCCAATTTTCATTTTTGGGTGAACTAACCCTTTAACCTTTTCACAGGCATTTTGTTTTCATAGTTAGACAGATATTGTGATGTAAAGAATTGTCTAGCAATATATCGATTATCGCAGAATCGCTGTATTGTGATATTTTTGTTATCGTGAGCCATGTATCGTGATTCATATTGTATCGTGAGGTACCCTGCGATTCCCACCCCTAATTGTAACACTCCTGTTTTTGAGACTTATTCATTCTCAGAAACAGGGGTGTTGCAATTATGCAGCCCACAGTTATTGGTTGATTCCTTTTTGCCCAAATATAAAAACATTTGGAGTTGGTCCAGTTGACACTCAACTCAAGATTTAATTAATGTTAGTTGATGAAATGGACTCTCCACCTCTCTAAGTTAATTATATGATGTAACATGATGTGGTGTGGAAAGTGATGCGTGTTTTGTGTACCTCTGAAAGTGTATATGAGGGAGCGTGACTGGCCTCTATCACTATAAACTTCACTAGAGTTACAGAACTGCAGACTAATAATAGCACTGCAAGTATACTGACATGAAGCTGAATATGAGAACCCTGCAGCTCTGGGAGGACTTGCCATTAGCCATCTGTTAATCTGTAAAAAATCTGCTTCTACTCAAAGGGCTTCTGATGTTATGTTGTATAGGCGCAAGAAAAGTTTAATTAGCTGACAGTATGGATATCACTTAACGCTTTTATGGTTGACTTATCTATATTTTGTGCCCATACTTGTGCATTGACTGTCAGCAGTGGTTTCCTGTTTGAAGCATATTGATATTGCATTGATAAAGTGATGAAGCTACTAACATAAAAACATCTGAAATCAGACCGCATCCATTTCTGACATTTCCATTTGTTTTGCTTGCTTTTTTTGCTGTTTCCTGGCCTCAAAAACTGCTTCCAGGAAGCCGTGGCAACTATAGCTTATTTTACACCGTAATGCATGAGACGGTGAAACTATACGGTTCTTCAAAGTCCTCAATTAAGAGCTCACTCGAGACAAATCCAGACAGCGAATGATCGTAAAATGACTGTAATGATTCCCTGTCTCTTCAGTCCTTTGTGTTGTCTGATGAGTAATTGTGCCCAAATCCGATACACTCTCAGAGAGCCTCTTGCACACACTGGGAACTCAAATCATCAACCTGCATGGCATTGTTTGCTGATATCTAAGCCTCATGGGAATTTTCTGTTTCTGTCTACAGCTTTCATACAGTCAGACAACATCCTGGAGGTACTACACTTTGGGGAAGGAGGCCTCTTGCAGGTAAGTTTTTGTGACTGATGGCTGATAGCATGAAGCTTGCATTGCAGTGTCAAGGCCATAGGAAATTCCTCAAAACACCATTTTTGGACAAGCTGTGACTACACTGAATACCACAAAGCTTGATGTTGTCAATAAATGATGGAAAAAGTACGGTTGTCACTATTAGTGGATAATACTGGATTCCTTTATTTAAAAGGTAGTGAGACAATCTACAGAAAAGAGTTCAATTAAAAAAAGTAGTTAGTCACAGTGCTTTGCACAGCAACAAAAATAGTAACACTGTCTTGTCAGCTGAAGTGTTGTTGCAAACAGAGTTAATCAAATTTTCAAAGATTTTCAATTTCATAGTTTAATAGTATTATTACTAATAATTACATACTTAATTATAATTTTTATGTAAGTTATATAGTACATGCACTGCTACCGGAATTATAGTGTGTTGAGATGGGAAAAAAAATAAAAGTAGCACATCTTTTTGCTTCGTCTGGTAACGTAAACATGCAAAGCAACTTGATTCAGTCTGATGAACAAACTGTCAGCTGAAGTGTTGTTGCAAACAGAGTTAATCAAATTTTCAAAGATTTTCAATTTCATAGTTTAATAGTATTATTACTAATAATTACATACTTACTTAATTATAATTTTTATGTAAGTTATATAGTACATGCACTGCTACCGGAATTATAGTGTGTTGAGATGGAAAAAAAAATAAAAGTAGCACATCTTTTTGCTTCGTCTGGTAACGTAAACATGCAAAGCAACTTGATTCAGTCTGATGAACAAACTGATGATCTTATTAGATCTTAAATGATCCTGTTAAATCTGTGTGAGCAGTTATTCATTTAGCATCTGGTTTAGCATTTAGCATCTGTTCATTAACTTACTGAACTGAAAATTCAAAACGTACTGAACTTTTTTGTCTTTTTAGTCTTATATCAGTATAATCAGTATAATAAATTTTTTTATAATAGTTTATTTTCAAAAAATAAATTATACTGATTATACTGATATAAGACTTACAGACACAGAAAGTGAGACAAGACAAAAAAGTACATTTTGAATTTTGTGTATAGGCAGGTATGTTGAGGGTGGAACTTTGTTCTTCCCTTTCTGCAAAAACCGAATTCTGTAGGAAACAATTATTTATTTACACACAAAACAATTATTTAAATTATAAATAAATTATTATACTCCAGTTGTCTATAATTTAGTTGTTACTCAAGGTTATTGAGAGATTTTGTAACGGCTTTATCAATTTATATATTTGAATAAGTCTCTGTAAAGGCTTCTTTATCTTTTCTAGTAGTGTATGTGTCATTCTTTGCAGTACTATTCATGGTTTATTAGGGTTTAAAAAGGTGTGACAGCCTAAACTATGTTATCAAATGCATTTAATTGCCCAATAAACTATTCTCAAATAATAGAAAATATCTAAACCATTTTTAAAGCATAGCTGTAATAGTCCCTTGAATGGGACTATGAACTCTATGATCTTAGTGGTTTTGTGTACATGCCAGTTTGGACTTTTGTGGAAATGTTGAGGTTTATAAATAAACTAGACTGTACTCCCCATCCGGCTGTTTCCATCTTATTTTAGCCCTCCAGAAGTGAACCTCAGTGAGAACATCTCTTTTGAGAATCTAACACAAACTCAGTGTATTCAAACAGTAGCCCATAGATATAGCAAGATCCTTGTCCAAAGGATAGACTTAAACAGTTTGATTAGATGTTTGACCTAAACCGTCTGTCATTATAACCTGCTCTTTCTGCTTTAGATGTCCTGCATGTTAGTACTACTAACTTTTAAAGGCTAATTTAATTTATTTTCTTCTTGCAGACAGAGTCTGATATTGATCTTAGCTCATATCGTCAAAAAAGGTAAGGTTTAAACTTTCATACCCTCAGAGATTTTCTGCATGCATCGTTTTGTGCGTGCTTGGCCGGAGTCAGCATGTGGTTTATATTAGATTGTCCAAGAAACATTTGTTCAGTACTTAACAAGACATGTGAACTAAATATTCCCTGTAAGCTATGAGACGTTCCTGTACTCAAGGAACAACAAATGAGCAAAACAATGGAACAAGTTGTCATTTCGCATTTCAAATTATTTAATCACATTCAGATACTCTTGGCAGTCATTGGCATTCACTAAATTGTCGCAAAGTGGAGCGAAGAGAATTAATGAATCAGTTGATGAATGCATGAGCAGTGTGTCTTTGCTGTGGCATTTTAAGTACTTCAGCAGTGATTTTACTCTTTGGATCAGAGGTAAATTAGGTAATTATCTTCCATCCTAATAAACACTGCTCATAGCGAGTTTGTGAAGTTGCACAACACTGTCTTTTAAGTTTGTAAGCAGAAGAACTGGTATGAAAGAGCAATGAGTCAGAAACGGAAGAGTTATTATTCTCTTAAAAGACCAGAGAATTTTGATGTGCACATTTCTTTTTATAAGTTAGAAGTTATTTCAGACTTGTTTTGAACCAATTCCAGTAGATAAACGTTTTGTGTACTAGGTTGCCTATTCATTTGCTCAACCAATCAAAGCTTTCCAGCTTGAGGGATTGGCCAGCCTACTTATCTGTATGCTAGCGGTGGCTGGATTTAATTGGCCGATTGTCTGCATTGACTCGTCATCTCAGCTGCAGGAGGACACACCCTCAGTCGACACCATCAGCATGTTGCATACAGTTTAGCATGCATGCCCAAGTGTAGCGCAAGTGAGAAAATGAGGAAGCAAGCAAACGCTGTTTAGTATATTTTTATTACAAAAATGTATAGCTTTGTGACCTAGTGCTAATTGACTTTGGGTGTTTCCTCTCTTTCTGATGGATAGACAGATTTTCTATTGAACTTTGTGTCTACTGATAGTGGTGTTTTTATTGCAACTCTTCAGTTTTTTTTAAAGCACGCCACCACACACATATATTGCAGTTGGGAAGTGGTTGACACTGTTTTAGCTGTGTTAGGGACTTTGTCGTAGCTTCTTTTTTTTTTTCTGTGGTTTGTGCCACCAGACCAGTTAGCCTAGTTAATGCCTTGACACGTTTGTATATTTGATCACAAGGCATTAACTATATCAGATCACACCCCACTAAAACATTGCATGACACACTGACATGTTTTATGGCTTCTTAAAATGGCAAATTAATCTGCTGGTAGTGTGGTTAACTCACCCTTTAGCTCTTTTTTTTTTTTTTTAGTTCATTTTGGCTAAACTGGGTAGCCAGAAGTCATGCTGACACTGTTTGAGTTGGGCTTTAAAATCATCCACATTAGTTCCTAACAGTGTTTGTGTTATCCTAAAGCTGCAGTAGAGAAGTTCACAAGATACAGGCTTTATTTCTCTCAAACACATTGCTGTGCAACTTGACGTGCCATTTTCTGTTGTTAATCCACAAATATGCAGCGAATCTGAGATAATGTCTTTAGTCAAGTGGCATGACTAATTGTGACCCTGAACCACAAAACTTCTTAAGTGTATATTTTAAAAAATCTGAAAGCTGAATAAATAAGCTTTCCATTGATGTATGGTTTATTAGGATATGACAATATGTGGCCAAGAATCGAGATACAAATATTTGAAAATCTGGAAGAAAAAAAATCAAAATATTGAGAAAATTGCCTTTAAAGTTGTCCAAATGAAGTCTTTAGCAATGCATGTTACTAATCAAAAATTAAGTTTTGATGTATTTACGGTAGGAAATGTACAAAATATATTTGTGGAACATGATCTTTTCTTAATATCCTAATGATTTTTGGCATAAAAGAAAAATCGATAATTTTGACCCACACAATGTATTTTTGGTTATTGCTACAAATATACCCCAGCGACTTAAGACTGGTTTTGTGGTCCAGGGTCCCAATTTGTCTGTCACTCTCAGGGTTTGAGAGCCGTTATGAGTTTATTTTAGTGGTTTAACATAAGCCTTGCCTCGTGCAGATGTTTGGGTCCTTGTTTATGAGTCAAACTGTTTTAGAAAGTTACCCCTCTATGAAAAACATTAGTTATACCGCCAGTGGAGAGTGTGATGAATGGTTCTATTGTAGAGTTGCACTCAGATCAAAGTGTTGAGTCTGTTGTCTATCTAGACTCTAGACATAAAAAAATAATGATAATATAGTAACAGTAATTTGTTATAATAGTGTTGTATGTTAAATTGTACTATCCATGAATCCATTATCCATTTAATTATCCATTATTTTTTAAATATTGTTTCAATCAATAATTAAATAATAAGTGGTAATATTCATCAAATCAGTAATTCTTTTTTTAAAATACTTAAAAACAACCAACCTGGGGCCCTATAAAATCTGTGTAAATTCTGGACTAAATTAAATTGTATTAATCAAAAAGCATGTCTAATTAATTGAAATCATGAAACTTACATTATTAAAGAGCATTTTATTAAAAGTTTTTATTCTTTACCAAATTCTGTTTTCCATGAATTTCTTTGATTTCATTTTAATGGTTTCATTAAATATTAATAATCAAAAACATCTCTAATAAATTGACTTTATATATATAAAAAAAGTATTATTATTATTATTTAGAATATAAATTCTAATGTTTTAATTCTAACCTAAATTTCTAATTCTAAATGATTTTATCATTAGTGGTATTATAGTACTATTATTGCCTAATATTTCTGTCATGATTTCTTCAAGTTAAACCAAACTTTTGATTTGACGAGTTGCTGTGAAGAACTTTAAGTTTCTGTTTGTATGTGATATGATTTTGATGTATCCATCCAAAATTTGGCAAATTGTGAAATTATTTTATGTTATAATGTTGTTATACACAATTAAATTTTTTATGACTGGATTCCGCAATTCCGTCCGCATGTTCCACATCACGGAAATCATAGGACCCTAAACACCTAATTTTTTATTCAATCGAACCAAACAAGACAGGTGTGAATACACCCTAAATCACTTCAGCCTCCCTGTGTCCCTTTTTCTATGATCTTTGAAATGACAAAATCAACAACAATTCATGCTTAAGCTATTTTTGAAGTGAGTTTGCAACTGCATGCTAAAAAACATTTCCTAGAACACCAATTTATGCCTGTTATCTGTTCAAAACAATGACAATACCTTAGGCCACATTAGTTGGTTACACCCTAAAATCAATGATATCTGACCTGAGGGACCATATCATTTATCACAGGTTAATTTCCTTATTTAGTCTGCCAACTGCAAAATCTTGCCAATATACGAGGAGGGTGGCATTAAATGAAATATGGTACAATGGGGAGGGGGAGTGGTATTATAGACTTCCAACTCTCAGAAAATGTATGTGTGAATGTGGTTGGGTGTTTGATCCAACTCTTTGAGTCAAAGGCTTGCCCAGTGGAAGCATGTTTCACCTGAACTTTTAATGTTTGGTGTAAACCTGATGCTTCCATGCCAGACAAAGCCTATTTGTTACTGTGTATGTGTAAGTGTGGGTGTATCTTTCTTTTTGCCTGAAGAAAAATATGTTTTTTTTTTTTTTTTTTAATAATTGACTTGTTTATTACGTATATTACCATTTGTAAGTTTGTAGTCAGGAATATTACATTTATATTACATTAAATTGTTCTAAATGACAGTACATTGATACAGTGGAAAAACTATTTCAAATGAATTGGGTTTCTTTTGAACTGGCTATTGAACAAATCTGGAAAAACTATAACCATTTCCAAAAACATTAAGCAGCACGACTGTATTCCATATTTATAATAAGAAATATTTTTAGCATGGAATTGGCATATTAGAATGATTTATGAAGCATCATAAGACACTGAATACTGGAGTAATGGCTACTGCATATTTTTTCAGCATTAATTTCATATTTCACAATATTTCTATTTTTACAGTGTTTTTGATCAAATAAATGCAGCCCTGGTGAGCGTAAGAGAGTTTTATAAACCTAAAAAAAAAATCCTGACCCCAAACTTTTGAATGGTACTTTATTTATCACAGAAAGACTCAACTTTTGATCTACGAAGTACTGAGACAGTTGTGACTTCCTGTTCAAACCTAGCACAAAAGAACAAAATAAATGTTCTTTTAGCTTGTGTGCCAGCTGCTGGATGTGTGTGGTAAAACCTCATCTTCTTGTTTGGCATGGGAGACGACATAAATAAATGCCAGAGCTCACACCAAAGCTCATCTGATGAAGACCTCAGTGAAGGCACCTCCTTGCTTTATATATTTCTGATGTGTGGAGGGAGTCACTGACCATCACCCTTACACACATTCACGTCAGTAAAACAGCAGGACGTTGGCCTCACTGAAACTTCTAATTAAAGCTTTTAGTATGTGTGTGTGTGCTCGCACTCTAGGCGGTTATAAATTAAACACATCCCACCTGTTTCTGACACCTGCATAAATCAGCTCCTCTCTGCCCTGGCTAATAGCTTGTGGCTAACCAGACTTGACATCAGCCATCGTAAACTCAGTGTACTCTTTGGGTACCCAAGGTTACAACCCGTTTTAACATCCATTTTGGGTGATAAATTTGAAATGGGATTATGCTAAAAACAAGTGTAAACTGGGTCCAAAACATTTTCAGCAGCATCCACTTTAGCCACATTCAGAGGTGGTTTAAAAACGCATTTGCAGCAAGCTAAAAACATTGTTTATGTTTAGATTCATATAATATAAACAAAAATAATGTGCCTATTTTTATTTTAAATTATTTAAATTGTTTTACAAATTTTGTATTACAAATTTGTATATTATATTTACATTATTGTTTATGCACTTACAGACTTAACAGACTGACAAAGTGAGTGATGTATGTAATATTGCATAAATGTAACACATTCCATCATTTATTTACAGATCATTCCACCTGGAGGCAACACCTCATTTGATGTGGTGTTTCTAGCTCGAGTAGTAGGGAATGTAGAAAATACCTTATTTATTAACACCTCGCATCATGGAGTGTTTACATACCAGGTACATTTCATGCACTTATAAATGTTGTTCTGTGTTTGGTGTACAACTATTAATGCAATGATGCTAAAAGGCTTTTGAACGCTTGTTTGATTGTAGGTCTTTGGTGTGGGCATCCCCAATCCCTACAGACTCAGGCCCTTTGTTGGGGCCAGAGTTCCAGTAAATAGCAGCTTCTCTCCACTCATAAGCATCTTCAACCCTCACAGTGAACCACTGCAGGTACGCAAAACTCCTCAGCTCAGAAAAGTGCTCCTATTATATCATATTTTCTTTTACCAGTGGGCCATGTTGGCTGTGCAACTAAATTATAAACATGTCTGCATCATCTTCACATGTTTTTATGGTTTTAGGTTGTAGAAATGTACACCAGTGGAGGAGATCTACATTTAGAGCTACCTACTGGACAGCAGGGTGGCACCCAAAAATTATGGGTTAGCATAACTTTATTCACACCTCGCATCATGGAGTGTTTACATACCAGGTACATTTCATGCACTTATAAATGTTGTTCTGTGTTTGGTGTACAACTATTAATGCAATGATGCTAAAAGGCTTTTGAATGCTTGTTTGATTGTAGGTCTTTGGTGTGGGCATCCCCAATCCCTACAGACTCAGGCCCTTTGTTGGGGCCAGAGTTCCAGTAAATAGCAGCTTCTCTCCACTCATAAGCATCTTCAACCCTCACAGTGAACCACTGCAGGTACGCAAAACTCCTCAGCTCAGAAAAGTGCTCCTATTATATCATATTTTCTTTTACCAGTGGGCCATGTTGGCTGTGCAACTAAATTATAAACATGTCTGCATCATCTTCACATGTTTTTATGGTTTTAGGTTGTAGAAATGTACACCAGTGGAGGAGATCTACATTTAGAGCTACCTACTGGACAGCAGGGTGGCACCCAAAAATTATGGGTTAGCATAACTTTATTCACACTTCAGTGTGGTTGTTATTGTAAATCACTGTTGTGGTAGAATTTATTATTCTCATATGCTACCTTTTTTTGTGTTCCATAGGAGATCGCTCCATTCGAGACGAAGGGTGTGATGAGAGCCAGCTTCTCTTCTCGAGACGCTGACAACCACACAGCTTTCATCAGAATTAAAACAAACGCGTCCAATGAGGACGAGTTTATCATCCTCCCTGTAGAGGTTGAAGTCACCACAGGTCAGTTAAAATAACCTTTCTTGATAACATTTGATCAATATTCTTTAGCACTGACTCATGGTTTGTGCATTTTCCTAGCACCTGGTATATACTCCTCCATAGAGATGCTGGACTTTGGTACGCTTCGATCGCAAGGTGTGCTTTCCCCCCCATTTCATTTGATGGTAGTTTGGTAGAAACAACAGAATTGTATGCAGGATACTGATACTGTGAAAAAAAGTAACGAATCTCTATGTCCTTTCAACTTTACAGATCGACCAAAACAACTGAATTTGCATCTGTTAAATTCAGGAGCAAAAGATGTATCGATCATGGTAATTTGTGGCTTATTTACATGGCTTGTTTAAACACTGTCGTTCAAAATTTTGGGGGTGGTAAGTTTTATTTTAATTAATTTTTTTATGTTTTGGAAATAACTCTCTTATGCTCACGGAGGCTGTGTTTAATAAAATTTGCTAAATTACAGTATAAATAGTAATATTGTGAAATTATTTAATATTTCCCCAAAACATCTTACTAGTCCCAAACTTTTGAATGGTAGCAGGGTTCCAGACTGCTCCATTTTGCGACCATTTTTTCTGCCGGTGCGAGTAAATTTTGTGGGCGGTCGCACTGGCGCGACCATCGCGTTGTTCAACTCGTGTTGCCATTTGTGATGCATTTGAGAAACATCAAATGGCATACGAAACAAAATCCAGCTACTCATTTGAGCTGCGCAACGCAAACAAACAAGTCCGAGCTCAGAACAGCTTTACTCGGGACCCAAAGTTGATTTCGCAACACTGTTACAGCACTGCGAGATCCATTGAGAAGCATTTGAATTCACCACACAATGAATAAGGTTGCTGCAAGATGAGAAACATTCAAATTCTGTACAGAAATCTCTGTTATAAACAGATCAAATGGCGCTGACATAGAAAACCAGAAGTGGTAACGCTAACTGTAACTATGGTGTTGTGGCAGAAATAGTTGAATGTTATTGCATTATTCTTTTCAGGGTTTGTACAGCCTTTTGAGAGAGAAATTCAAGCAATTTTCAATGACTTACAAGCATTTCACACAACTGTTTCCAGCACTTTAAAGCTCCTAAATGATGCAATTTGAATGTTATTTTCAATGGGATGACCAAAATATACTGTGGTGAACAAACACTTATGTAAAATTTAAAAATACTTCAAATCACCATTATAACTTGTAGATGGCAGCAGAGGAGCGCTTATTGGCTTAGTCATTCATTTATACTTTTTATTTTTTATTTTGAAATGATAAAATAATTATAAAATCACAATTATAAAATATCAAATCATCAAGAAATCAGATTTTGTCAGAGTTTTGCTCTTTTTTTTGTGTGTGTATGAAGGAAAAAACGTCAAAAATGCTTTGAAAAACAAACTTCTTCAATTTGCGACTAAATCACACAATCACTTGTCGGTCAAGTTGATAGTCAGTTTCATATAAGACTATAGAAGAATAATGGTACATCTAATAAGAGTACAATATATATCGTTTCAACATAAAAATTTGATTTTGCTCATATTACTGTTGTTAATAAAATACATTTTGTAAGCTTCCCAACTCAGGCTTAGTGCTTTACTATCAAATGTGTATAAACCAGAAATGAACATGTAATATTATTAGTAACTGCACTTATTAATGCAAAACAATAGTAATTGTATCATATATATATATATATATATATATATATATATATATATATATATATATACATACAGTGCTACAGTGGTCCTAGTAAAAACAGTTAGTCTGGAGCCCTGGGTAGTGTAAATCTGGCAAGGTTTTTGATTTAACCAGTGAATAAAATATCACTTGTAATGCTTTTTATGTATTTTGTTTTGTATAGAGTGTTAGGCCAACTCCGTCGAATGAAGCGGTCACAGTTGAGTTCAAACAAATTACACTAAAAGCTGGAGAGAGCCGATATACCAAAGTTGCAAGTATTATTTTTGATGGTAAGTACAGTTATTTTTTGCGTCACCTTTGACCTCTTATATAGATTATCCTATCACACACCTCTCTGTAGTGATTTGATAGTTAGTAAATCAGGTTTTTATCAATAAGTCAAAAGTTCATAAAGTTTCTGTAATAATCATGTGCATGTTGATTAGTGCAAAAAAGTCCATACTCTACACTACAGTATGTTACATACATACATACATACAGTGCTACAGTGGTCCTAGTAAAAACAGTTAGTCTGGAGCCCTGGGTAGTGTAAATCTGGCAAGGTTTTTGATTTAACCAGTGAATAAAATATCACTTGTAATGCTTTTTATGTATTTTGTTTTGTATAGAGTGTTAGGCCAACTCCGTCGAATGAAGCGGTCACAGTTGAGTTCAAACCAATTACACTAAAAGCTGGAGAGAGCCGATATACCAAAGTTGCAAGTATTATTTTTGATGGTAAGTACAGTTATTTTTTGCGTCACCTTTGACCTCTTATATAGATTATCCTATCACACACCTCTCTGTAGTGATTTGATAGTTAGTAAATCAGGTTTTTATCAATAAGTCAAAAGTTCATAAAGTTTCTGTAATAATCATGTGCATGTTGATTAGTGCAAAAAAGTCCATACTCTACACTACAGTATGTAGACCTAGTAATAACTTGGTCTGGTGACATCAAAGCAATTGAAGTCTGTTTACAATGTTACCAAAGCTCTTTCATTCTTGATTTATTTTAAGTCATCAGTAGTTATTGTTTTACATGGAACAAAATGTTTGTTTACAGATATAACTACAGAAATGTTCATGGTGTTTTTATTTTTTTTTTACATTCCAGCTTCAAAAGCAAGAAGATCAGACCAGTTTTCTGGAAAAATAACAGTGAAGGCAAAAGAGAAAAGCTACTCAAAACTTGAAATCCCTTACCAAGCTGAGGTTTTAGAAGGGTAAGATTTCTTCACCAGTTCACCAGCATATGTATACAGTTTTGTAACTAGTTCACAATGTTTTTATGCTCACCGTTTCCAGGTACCTGGGCTTCGACCACACAGCCACCCTGTTCCACATCAGAGACAGTCCTGTAGATCCAGTGGACAGGCCCATTTACCTCACCAATACTTTCAACTTTGCCATACGCATCCACAACGTGTCACTTCCAGAAGAAGCCAAGACTATGTTCAATGTAAGCAATTTTTTCTAGCCTCTGGATGTGGGTGATCACATGTTTGTCAGCAGAAAACCTCTTTATAGTGTTGAATTAAAATATTTATTTGTTTTTTAACAGGTGCGTAATTTCAGCACACCAGTTCTTATCCCTCCCCATGAGTCCCGCTATATTTTCTCCCTTCTGTTTCGACCAGTGCGACCCTCCATCCACATCGACAGCAACATTCTCCTCATCTCTAATGCTTCTAAATTCCACCTGCCAGTCAGGGCCTACACAGGCTTCTTGGAGGTATGTTAGAAACAGCCTACATGTGACAAAATGTCATTAATGTAACCTAATAATTGTGAAATTTATTTGTATAATTTTAGAGATTGCTTGGCCATGATTTGTCTTTTCTTTCTTACTTAACAGCCCGTTGTTCTTCCTCCCTGTCTTCGAGAGCACATCCTAGACTTTGGTGTTCTTAGTGCTACAGACACCAGCAGTTTAGTGTTTGTGGTGGTCAACAGCAATCCAATTGAGGTACAAGGTCATCATATTCAGTACAGTGTGACATTTTGTCATTTGAATAAAAAATAGCAGTTCTGTTTAAGTTTTTGAGACATTACTGGAGTGAGCAATGATGTAGATGTGGCTTTTTCTCTATAAATAAATTATAGAGAATCATATAGATTATATACATTATAGAGATTTCTCTGTCCTTACAGTTGGAGATAAAGTCATGGTTGGTGACAGGAGACAGTCTGTCAATGGAGTTGCTTAACACAGAAAGAGGGAACAGAAGTATAGCACTGAGCAGAACACAAGAGCTCCAGAACACATCAGCCGCCCAATACAAAACCGTAAGAGCATCTTTAACACTCCTTTACTGTCTGTTACCAAAACGTATATATAGCACATCAGAGTCATTTGGACAGCATTACACAGGGCACAGCTTGTCTTTATGCTGGAATGTTCATTAACTAAGAATAATAACTCTGTATCTCATAACAAATATGATAATGATTTATAATCCACATAAAATAGGGGACGCTGAGTAATGTTGACATTTCAATGCAAAATAATGTATGTAAAAAAAGAACTGAAATGACATACTCTCCTACAATAAACATTGATAACATTTTATTTTATGAAACTTATGTATTGTAAACTTTTTATGATCTTTATGTCAGTGAAAAAAATTTCAAACATAACTCCATACATGGCTATCTCAGATTGTACAGATTGTATTATATCTGCAGGCAGTCATAGGACTTCCGGTGGAATCTTTGCATGTCCGTACTTGTGGTGAAATTGCAGAAGTGTTGCAAAATTTATGGTTTTGGGTTACTGCAAGCGAACACATTATTTTAGACATTTTTCATTTTTCAAAGACCCAAAGTAAGGCAATGTAAACCGAGTGAGCCAGTGTGCATAGAAATGTTTCAGTTAGACCACTGTCTTTTGTATACTTCAAAATAAACATACATTGGAGTATGTATGTGCATTTGTTTAGGAAAAGCAGGATTGCTACAGAACATGTAGGTGTTCATAACTCCGTATTGCATGTCTGTTTCCTCACAGGTCATTTTAGCCTCAGGCTACTACGCAGCGTTTAAAGTCACTTTGGTGGCAAAAGCTCTAGAGGGAATATATGATGGAGCCATACATATTACAACAGACTATGAGGTATGTGTTTCATCCAGAAAACACTGTTACCTCTGTTCTTCTTTTCCACAAAAATGGTGCTGGTTGTTGTGCCAAAGCTGGTGCTCGAGAAGGGGGATCTGTGAACTTTAAAATAAGTAATACCATTGATAAATGTTAGGGGTGGTAAAAAATCGATTCACCTAACTTTCGCAATTTTTTTTTTTAACAATTTAAAAATCTATTGGTTTATCTCAGAATCGATTTCTATTTCATTATTTTACTTTTCCTAAGAGGTGGTCGGGAGAAGTTAGCGCTTTTATTCCAACAGAGAGCGTTAAATGTATAGGTGTGTTCGACTTGAAGTAGCAGCGTGCAGACCAATCGAGAAATCGCCGTATGACATCAAAGTACCGCGAGAGCGATTCGAAAGCATGCGGAGCCATCTGCTCTCTGTAGCTCTCGCGGTGCTTTGTCATACAACGAGCGGTCTGCATGCGCAGTGCCGCTGCATTAGATGACGTCGTATACGTTTCAAGCCGGCGCGAGAAAGTAGAACCATGACAGAGGATCAAACCTCTTCGAGAATTGTTTCTGCACCTTCACGTTTTGAATCCCAAGTGTGGAAACACTTTGGATTTTACACACTACTGCGAAAACATGACTAAATATGACTAAAACCATAAGCAAAGTAACATAGAACTTTATTTTATTTAATTTATAATTAATTTATAATAATAATTTAATTAATAATACATTTAATAATAATTATAATTTATAATTTATGCATTTAGAAGATGCTTTTATCCAAGGCGACTTACAGTGCATTTAGGCTATAAATTTTTTTTACCAGTATGTGTGTTCCCTGGGAATCGAACCCACAACCTTTTGCGTTGCTAACGGAATGCTCTACCACTGAGAGTTCAGGGTTTTGGTACTTGAAAGTTTCATGGTTCAAGGTATTTTAAAATATGCACTGTGTATACTCCTGTAATAAAAGTTCAGAATGTGATGCATTGTTTTTGTTAATATGACTCATTTACAGTCACTTTAAGGGTGTGATCAAGTATTTTCCATTGTCTAGTCTTTAATAAGCAAACAAAATCGCAATAAAGTGTAAAACATGACTAAATATGACTAAAACCGTAAGCAAAGTAACATAGAACTTTATTTTATTTAATTTATAATTAATTTATAATAATAATTTAATTAATAATACATTTAATAATATTTATAATTTATGCATTTAGAAGATGCTTTTATCCAAGGCGACTTACAGTGCATTTAGGCTATACATTTTTTTTACCAGTATGTGTGTTCCCTGGGAATCGAACCCACAACCTTTTGCGTTGCTAACGGAATGCTCTACCACTGAGAGTTCAGGGTTTTGGTACTTGAAAGTTTCATGGTTCAAGGTATTTTAAAATATGCACTGTGTATACTCCTGTAATAAAAGTTCAGAATGTGATGCATTGTTTTTGTTAATATGACTCATTTACAGTCACTTTAAGGGTGTGATCAAGTATTTTCCATTGTCTAGTCTTTAATAAGCAAACAAAATCGCAATAAAGTGTAATATCGAATCGCAATATATGGTATATTGAATCGGCACACAAGTATCGGGATGGTATTGAATCGGCAGATTAGCGTATCGTCCCAGCCCTTATGAATGTGTGTGTGTGTGTGTGTGTGTGTGCGTGTATATATATATATAATTGAATCAGCACACAAGTATCGGGATGGTATTAAATCGGCAGATTAGCGTATCGTCCCAGCCCTTATGAATGTGTGTGTGTGTGTGTGTATATATATATATATATACATACATACATACGTGCATGCGTGCGTATGTATATATATGTATGTGCATGTGGATATATGAGTATATAAGAATTATGTAAAAAACAAATAGAATGTTTTCATTTATAAATCAGTTACGGTGTTGTCACACAGACCCATTTACACATGTATGAAAGTGGCATATTTTTAACACCACAATGGAAACAAATGAGCAATGCTTTCCAAGCCTTCAGTTTATCTGTGTCTATTTCAGATACTGACCATCCCTGTAAAGGCTCTTATAGCAGTAGGAACATTAAGCTGTTCACCTAAACAAATCATTCTTCCTCCTTCATTCCCGGTAAGTAAAATCACTTCTCTATCTTTTTTTTTTTTTTAATCCTCTGTGTCCTTTTCAAAATCATAAGTCATAAGTATTCTTTTGTCTCTATTCTTTTTAAATAATCATTCAAAATGACCTGTTCATTGAGATTTCAAAGTAATGAAACAACAACAACAACAGACCATTCATTAGGTTTAGGACCATTTTAGAATATTTTTACTGTGTGTGTTTTTTTATTTATGTAGGGAAAAGTTGTTCACCAAGGATTTAGCATACAGAGTTCATTCTCACAGAAAGTTAGGCTTCAGCAAATTCGCTCTCTCACAGAGGACGTCCGGTTTTACTTCAAACGACTTCGCAATAACAAAGTGGAGTTGGAACCCAGACGAAAGTCCAAGGTGCCAGGCCCAATTACAACACTATAATGCTATACTAAATCTACCCTCACATAAATGCACCTGCCCACAGTTTGCTCAGTTTATTTTATGCTATAACTACAATAGTACAATGTAGAATAATTTTGGATGAATCAGATGTTTTTTGTCCTAAAATTTTTTGTTTTTTTTACTCCTTTTCCAGATAGCAAACATTTATTTTGATGCCAGCTTGCAGTGTGGTGATCACTGTTATGTGGGATTACCGTTTGTATTAAAATGTATGCTTTCTGTACATCAAAGTATTTTTTCCTAATTTATCTGTTTTTTTTAATGCATGGGTTTCATTGAATACTCCTCGTGTGTGTGTTTTCCCTGCAGCTGAATCCAGGCCCCATGGTTTAATTATGCAGGAGGACATATGGGACGCTGATGTAGATCTACATCAGCGGCTCCTGAAAAGATGGCGAGAGCTCAAAGAGCAATCAGGCCTTGAGTGAGTCCGATACATCTTGCTTTAAACCTTAGATTAGATGGTTAGATGGTTTTCGATTACCATGCAGTAGATGTATAGTATCTTTGATATGATTCTCTTGTTTGTTTAGGGTTGAAGCTTTCTTTGAAGTGAACACAGATCTGCAGAAGAATGTGCAGGCCAAGATCTTAGCGCAGCTCACATGGCCCTCGCTGGTCAACTCATCACAACAGATTCATTTTCCTCTCACAAACACCGACAGCTCATCAGTGAGTGTATACACATCAACTCAGCTCACTTTAACACATTTTAGCATGTTTAAATCAACTATAGTATTTTCCCTCAAGTCAAATACATTGACCTGAGCTTGTGTCTTTGTAGGAAGAGGAAGTGATTCTAGAAAACTCAGCCGATGTCCCAGTCTACGTTCAGGTTCTTCCTTTGGCTCTTTACCCGAATCCCTCAGTGTTCACAGGCAGACTTGCTGACAGGTAAGGCACTTCCTATGCACTAAACCAGTTATAGACCCCTATATATGATGTGATGTGTTTTCATGTATGAAGACCTATTTATATTGTCTGTGAGAAATAGCAAGTGCGATATTATAAAAACAAAATATAGCTAGCTAATTCAATTGAGAAAAATAGAGCTATTTAAGTTATCTTGTGAAAATCCTGTATTTTTCATTTTAAATGTCAGTATTTTTGCAATATCATGTAGCACTAATACTGATTTCATCTGATGTCTTTTTGCTGTTCTTAAAGGTTTCCTTTAGGAAAGTTGTCTAACATCAACATTGACACGAATACACTGGAATTCCAGGTCTATAAAAATCATGTAAGTAACAAGGACATAAAATACATACAAACCATGTATTGTAACAATGTAGTGACATTTTGTTGTTTAATTGAATCAATTTTACTTTTACTAGAATTGCTGTAGTGGTTATGGTGTATCTTTATGCTGCTAATGATTTTTGTATGTGTGTCAGTCTTCAGTGATGAAGAGTTCTACAGGATTTGTTGAAGGTTTAACTCGGCCCTATGTATACAACATGCTCCTTATGCCTGGGGAGGTGAAGTCCTTCAACGTGAGGTTTAGACCCATCACCAATCACAGGGTCTCTTCTCTGCTAGTCGTCAGGTAAACTTAGTTTGCCAAAATGAATGCTGAAAATAGAATGGTGTGAGAGTACTGTTGTACATTAACCTTGTCATGTTTGCACAGGAACAACTTGACAGTTGTAGACTTGATCATGGTTCATGGTCAAGGCACCACAGAGAGTCTGAGACTGGCTGGTAAAGCCCCAGGTCTCGGCAGCTCTCTGAGGTTTAAGCTCACCGAGGCATTTCTCAAAGACTGTTCAGAAGGTAAGTGTCAAAATGAAATCAAGTTTCAGATGTTTTTGTTGTTATAAACTAGTTTGAGATTCTGTACCTTTCTGTTTACATACTACTTGTGCTTACTAAATGTCTATTACTAATTTCTTCAAGCTAAAGCCAAGGAACCAAACTTCACTCTTCGAAGGACTTTCAGGTTGGAGAACACCGGGCTTCTTCCCATTCACATCCGATCTATGGAGATCAGTGGCAATGCATGTGAGGGTTATGGCTTCAAAGTTCTCAACTGTGAAGAATTTGCACTCAAACCAAACACTTCAAAAGACCTTGTCATACTGTAAGTGATTTCATGGTTACTTTTTTAAGTGCCAGTGCAGCACTGTGAGGTTTTCTGATTTCTTTTGGTCAAATGTTAGGAATAGCTATTATTATTATTATTATTATTATTTTAATAATTATGTTATGTTCAAATGCTGTTATGTTATGCTCACCAAGTCTGCATTTATTTGATCAAAAAGTTAGTAAAACCAGTAATATTACAATTTATTTTAAGTTCTATTTGAATACATTTTAATATGTAATTGATTATCTTGATATTATCAGTGTTCATTCATGCATTGCTATTCAAATATTTGGGGTAAGTAATATTAATACTTTAATTCAGCAATGATGCCTCAAGTTGATTGAAGGTAGCGGTAAAGATGTTTAGAAATAAGTGCTGTTCTTGTGAAATTTTTTTTTAATTCATCAAAGAATCTAATGTATCATAAAAATGCATCAAGATTTCCACATGGACAATAATAAGACCCTTTTTTAATAGAGTAGCAATAATTGAGCACCAAATCAGCATATTAGAATGGTTTCTGAGTAACAGTTGGAGTAAGATGATTAACTCTCTTCTGTCTTGTGAATTCATACAGGTTTACACCAGATTTCACATCATCCAGAGTGATCCGGGAGCTGAAGTTGGTGACTGCGGGGGGTTCAGTGTTTGTGTTTGTGCTAAATGCGTCATTGCCATATCACATGCTGGCAGTGTGTGCTGAGACCCTTCCCCGACCCAACTGGGAGCTCGAGCTCTACATCATCGTCTCCCTCATTATGAGGTCTGATTTCTCATATCTGATCACCTGATGGCTAAGAAAGTCTAAACCCTGTCTTATAAACATTACACAACCAAAACGATGCCTTTGTTTACACGGCACACAATTCTGATTTGTTTTTTTGAATCTGATGTTTAGAATTGACTGTCTACACTGCTTTTTGCAGATTTGTGGGGTTTCTTTCTATTTAAAAAAAAAAAAAACCTAGACTAAAGAAAGTCATGTGAAAGGGGTGATGAACTGAGGAATCCAAATTCCCTTGATCTTTTGATAAATAAGATGTCATTGCGCTATAAAAACATTCTGTAAGTTTCAGAACTCAAAACTTTCTGGTTAGTCTAAAAACAGCTTATATTGAAGCCAGTCTGCCAAAATGACAAGTTGTGGAATGTGCCATTTTATGACGTAATAGTGTGGTTAAACACTGCCTCAGCAGAAGAAGATCAATGCCTGCTTCTACATCACTGCCTGTTTAGCCCCGCCCACCGATTCTACATCACTGCCTGTTTAGCCCTGCCCATTTTTAATGAAGCGCCAGACGGTGTCATTAAGAACTTGGTCCTTTGTTCACTTCATTTTACATTTACATTGTCATTTAGCAGACGCGTTTATCCAAAGCGACTAACAAATGAGGACAATAAAAGCCATCAAAACTAACAAAAGAGCAACAATATATAAGTGCAAATGACACGTCTCGGTTAGCCTAACGCAGTACACGTAGCTGTGTGTGTGTGTGTGTGTATATATATATATATATATATATATATATATAGAATAAACACACACACAAAGAAAAACAAGTAGAATAGAAAAAATATATATATATATTTTTTTTTAATATATATTTTTTTATTAAAAAAAAGAAGATAAAGTAGAATAGAAAGTGATAGATTTAGAGGGTCAAATAAAGGTGGAACTGATGTGTTTTTAGTCGTTTCTTGAAGATGGCTAAGGACTCGGATTGAGTTGGGCAGGTCATTCCACCAGGAGGGAACAGTTAATGAAAAAGTCTGTGAAAGTGATTTTGTGCCTCTTTGAGATGGCACAATAATACGCCGTTCACTTGCAGAACGCAAGCTTCTAGAGGGCACATAACTCTGAAGTAATGATAATAAATGATCAATTATCAGTAATAATTTTACCGTGGATTCGTTTACAAACAAGGCACTTCTACATCACTGCCTGTTTAGCCCCGCCCACCGATTCTACATCACTGCCTGTTTAGCCCTGCCCATTTTTAATGAAGCGCCAGACGGTGTCATTAAGAACTTGGTCCTTTGTTCACTTCATTTTACATTTACATTGTCATTTAGCAGACGCGTTTATCCAAAGCGACTAACAAATGAGGACAATAAAAGCCATCAAAACTAACAAAAGAGCAACAATATATAAGTGCAAATGACACGTCTCGGTTAGCCTAACGCAGTACACGTAGCTGTGTGTGTGTGTGTGTATATATATATATATATATTCAACCTAAATATAACTAATTAAAATGTATCAAAAAATGGTAAATACATGCATTTTGTTGTTTTTTAAAGGGAATTCCTAATGCTATTGATAGTGTCCGTTCACTTGCAGAACGCAAGCTTCTAGAGGGCACATAACTCTGAAGTAATGATAATAAATGATCAATTATCAGTAATAATTTTACCGTGGATTCGTTTACAAACAAGGCACAATTCGACACAGGATTTTTAGAAAGATTGAAACTAAAAGACGAAGCTGTGCCGACTATATTGGATCCGATGTCGCACCACACAAGTGAGTAACTCTTCATTATGTGATCACTATTGCTTTGTCTGTTAAACAGATCGTTTGACATGAGTATTTTTGCATTTTTTACCTAAATCACAGCAGCATCTATCTATGAAGGATGCCGGCTGTCAAACATACAGAACTGTTAGCCAATCATAGCAGTGGGCGTTTCCTTTGAGTCTACAATCCGCCACACCTATTCAAACCGAGCGTTCTAAACAGGGGGTCAAAACAGGACAGAAAATAACCTATTCTAAATTATGATTGTTTTTAATGTAAAAATCTTGATAACATTATAAGTGGACCTCAGAGAACAGTACAAAATAAAAAACAAAGGCAGTTCATGACCCCTTTAAACAAATGTTTGCTTATAGATATTATGTAAGTTGTGCATTGTGTTTATATTGTATTAGGAATATTTTTCTTATTCTATTTCATGTATAATATTGCAACGTTTTAAACACGTGAGATTAATAACGTACTTGTCTCTGTGGATGATTAACAGTCTGATATTTCTCTAGCTCCATGTAATGTCGCACCACACAAGTGTGAGTAACTCTTCATTATGTGATCACTATTGCTTTGTCTGTTAAACAGATCGTTTGACATGAGTATTTTTGCATTTTTTACCTAAATCACAGCAGCATCTATCTATGAAGGATGCCGGCTGTCAAACATACAGAACTGTTAGCCAATCATAGCAGTGGGCGTTTCCTTTGAGTCTACAATCCGCCACACCTATTCAAACCGAGCGTTCTAAACAGGGGGTCAAAACAGGACAGAAAATAACCTATTCTAAATTATGATTGTTTTTAATGTAAAAATCTTGATAACATTATAAGTGGACCTCAGAGAACAGTACAAAATAAAAAACAAAGGCAGTTCATGACCCCTTTAAACAAATGTTTGCTTATAGATATTATGTAAGTTGTGCATTGTGTTTATATTGTATTAGGAATATTTTTCTTATTCTATTTCATGTATAATATTGCAACGTTTTAAACACGTGAGATTAATAACGTACTTGTCTCTGTGGATGATTAACAGTCTGATATTTCTCTAGCTCCATGTTCCTGCTGGTCATCGCTACTGCCTATCTGGAGGCCCAGGGAATATGGGAGCCTTTCAAACGACGGCTGTCTGTGGAATCCAACTCTCCCATGGAGACTGGAAAACCATTTGATCTCAGGGAAATTGTACGAATTCAAAGTGATGCTAAGTGAGTGATGATTTTGTTTTTTTTTTAATTTTATGTCCTTTTATAAAGAAGTGATTATTCTTATTTGATTCACATTTTATGTAAGATGCTTTACAAAATGCATTTGATCTGTTGCAGCTTGAATGATTTTGCCGACTCAAACCAGAACTCGACAAGAGGAATGTATGGGTCAAGCGGTGGCGGGAGGGCTGGGGGTCGGCAGGGTGGTCCTCACTCCAGTTCCAACAGCAATGGTGTTCTGCCAGACAGTAAGCCCAAATCTGGTTCAGGCCGCTCTGGATCTATGCAACCCTCCTCCAGCTTTCCGCTCAATAAAGATAGTGGCCAAGGACTGAGCCAGCTAACTAATCGAAAGGCCCGGAGTTCCAAACAGCAGCAGCAGGGCTCAGGCCTCCTGGAGGACCTTCCAAGCTCAGGACCCTCACAGTCCAACAGCACAAGGGCCAACAGTACAGAGGAACAGGACTACAACCGACTTCTGGCAGCCATGGATAAAGACCACGACAGGCCTGAGTCTCCTGCCAATAACGTGTCTTCAGAACACAATTCACAACAGCCTTCACAAAACAAAGGTAATATATGACAATATATCAGCATAACAATATAAATTAATTTATCATACCAGATGTTTGACCCAGAGGTCAGTGTAAATTGCGAAATGCACAATAGAATTTCTGTTAATTTACTTATGTTTTTCAGTACTTGAATCAAAAGGGAAAGTGAAGAATAAAACAAAAGCTCTTAAAAAGAAAGAGGAGAAAGAGAGGAAAACAAAGGGAAAGACTCAAGGAGAAGATTTAAAAGAGCCACTGGCAGACAACGATGACAGCTCTTCTACTACCACAGAGACCTCTAACCCTGACGTGGAGGCCAATATTAAAGAGGTATACACGTGAAACATACTAGACCCACCAGAGTAATTCCCAAAACAAACTTGGTCGAAAATGTACATTCTAAATGCACTCTTTGACTACAATTTGTCGTCTTAACCAGGAGCCAGTGAAAGTGAAAGGAAAATCAGTGTCAGTGGACAGTGGAAAAGAAAGAGAAGAAATTACTCCCTCCCCCGCTAAACCAAAAACTAAGAAACAACCAACCACAAAGAAGGAGAATCAACTGGAAAAATCCAGGTTTGTTCAGAGCTGTCACTGAAGGTGACGTGTGATTTCTGTGTCACTAGGCCCCCGATACTGATGGTGAAGAGGT